CTGGGTCTACCCTCCCTAGAGAGAGTTCTGCGTCTTACTACTACGACTAAGTTCCTCTTACCGTATTACGAAGACATCTATTCAATCACCTACGTGGTGCTGCTCGCTTGTAACATTTGGATCAAGGCTTCTGATTCTGTCCGGGAGGAGGACAGTGACATCTATGAACGACAGCAGTGTTAGGCTTTCGGATGTTTTTCAGCTTTTTCGTTTGCGATGGGTGCTATGTCCATGTAGTTTGTGTGGGTTTCAGATGTTATCGATCATTTGTACGGGTGGGCCGGCATTCGTCCCGACAGTGCGCGCGACGCCCGGCAGGAGTTTAAATGAATGTTCCCCGTAAGGTGGTCAACTTGCAGGTCGCAGTAGTTGAACTAGTCGCTTCGTTTATTTCCAACGCGACATGACGCGGGCCCGTGGCAGGACACTCGCCCCAAGGAGACTTGCACGTGCAAGAGGACTTGCAGGTGGCTGCGTGCGTGCTGACCAGTTATTTCATCTTGTTCCATGATCACGGGAACATTTGCTTATGTAATTATGCTGCTGAATGTTTTTCTTCAACACATGCCCGTGGGCAGGAGTGAGTATATTACCAGCGGCTGCAATTGCATTGTGTCCATGCTTGCATTTCTGCAGCAGCCGAAAGCTGGCAATACAATCGAAGGTGCGAAGAGGAAACGGCTTCCAGGGATTCCCGAATCAGTTGGATTATGGCTTGTATTTTTTTGGTTGCGGAGATGAATGTCAGAAGTACACCGACGGCGAAGACAATGTGCATTTTTCTCGAGACAAAGACACATTGGTGTACGTCCATGGCTGGGAGGTGGACAGAGTTGGCCAGCTTTACCGCGAAACGTTCAATTGGAAAAAAAACGAGCCCAGATATGGCTTAGATGTGGACTTGGCTCGCGCATGGCTGGAGAACGGCTGGAATGTTGCGGTCTTTTACTGGGCTGCTTGGCGGGACCCATGCTGTTATGCTGTGCAGTTGAGGCTTTTGCTGGAGCATGTTGATGTGACTCGTGACTTGTGGATGGTGTGGGATTGAAGGATATTGGCCATTTGACACAGTCCATTGTCACACCGATCCTGTCAAGGACATGTTTTCTGATGAACCTTGGTTGCCGGATGCTGAAGCCAAGATTTGGACAGCCCGTGGTCGCAGGTAACGGATTTTCGGATGCGGTTAGAAGGCTGCAGATCAGACTTTGTCCGACGGAAATTGGCATGATAGCGTACTTCAACTGTCAGCGACTTTCCGTTTTGTGCTTGATTCACGTTCACGGCATGGAGGCGGATGCGCTATCGGCTTGCTTCGGGGACTTTTCAGGCAATCCGATATGTTTTCAATCATTTCCGGCAAGTGTAGACTCTGTCGTGTCATGTGATCTAAGGGGCCTGACTGGCTAGGATGTCCCAAGGCCGAGTGTTACTGCAAATCATTCGCCCAGACTTCGCAGGAAGCTGATTCGCCAAGCCATTCTGCATCGTCACTGTTGGGAAAGATTCTATACTCGTTGGTGCAAGCCTCTCCGAATAAACAGCTGCGGCTGGCGGGCCATTCTCTGGGGTGGTAGCCCCAATTCACATCCGGGTTTTCGCGCTTGCACGCTGCAGTCGGATTGCTTCGTGGTTTGCACCTGATGTGTTTCTCCACTCTACAAGGGCACCTTTGGTCATTGCTGGTGCCTCCAACATGTTTGCACGGCAAGGGATGCCACGTGGAGTCAGAAGCTTGGAAAACAAAAAGGTTCTGGAGCTCGTTCAAAAGGCTTTGCTTTGAAGACGCTGTCGCTGTCTGTCAGCCATGAGGTTTGATTGGCTTACAGGTTCCATGGAGGTGCCGGAGTCGGATCAGCATGTACGAAGTGTCGGTCGGTGAGGGCTTGTTCCATGTTTTGGGTTTAGGCCTCGGGTTTGTTCAGGGCTTAAATGTTTGAGGGTCCAGACCTTCGGGTGTTCGAGGTTTCAGGGTTTCGGGCGTGAGGATTTCGGATCAGCCTTTTCGAGTTGCAGGCGTTTGAGGTATCGTTCACTTCAGAAGAGTTCTGCAAGGCTCCGAGTCTTGTTCGGAGTTTTCATAGGACCCAAGAACTCAAGCAGCATCCACTGTTGGCCACAACATAACTTCTTAGTTTCGTAGCTTCTTGAGTGCTTCGGTCCTTACATCGCTCAGGAATTGCGCTGCTCGATCCATACTGGTCGCGCAGGGTGCAGGTGTTGAACCCGCAGGACTACTTAGCTTCAGCGGAGGCAGGATCACAGAGCCGTTGCACAATTAGAAATCAGCAGCCAAGGCTGGACGGGGCAATCGCACTCTGCTGACTAGCAGCACAGCTGAGGATCCGTGGCAAAGGAACGACTGCCAGCCTGAGCCTCTCCCTGGCATTGATGTTGGCACGAAAAGAAGCGCTGTCTCGTGGCCAACAACTTCTTTGATTCTTCTAGGTCTAGATATCATCGAAGCCATGCCCAATTCAAGTCACCGCCTCACCCATGTTCAGATGTTTCCGATTTTGCCTTGTGTCTCTGGCATAGACAAAGGCTTATTCGGCTCTCCCTTAATTAGACCTTACTACCTGCAAACCGTGCATCTAGAAACATTTCGGCAGGGTTGTTGCCTCCGCCAGTCTTCAGAATTGCCCGGAGTGCAGACCCCAGGTGTGAATCCTCAGCGGAGTCCTTGAATGCTTCCGTGGTCGTTTGATGCCTGTAGACTAATGTGATACGGCGTATCGAATGTCCAGGTTTGAGATCTACTACTCGTGCCCGACCATGACCCAGATGCCGATAGTGGCCGACAACAGCACGGCAGAAGAGCTGGTGCGGCGGGAGTTGGCCGCACTGGTGCAGTACGACGCATCCTGCTGCGACCCTTGGGACTTGGAGGCAGTGCAAAGAGCGGTTGAATGGAGTTCGGGAAGCTCAGCAGAGTCAGTCCAAGCCCTGAGGCGCAGCACCTGCTTGCTCCGAATCTTTATCTTTACAGTATGCTACATCCTCCACCAGGTGGGGTCACTGTCCCTGATGAACAGGAGCATCTTTGCTTCCTGGTAGAAAGATCGAGTACCCTCAGGCTGTGGTGCACCTTCCGCGAGTGCATCAAATGAAGTCTTGGCAGTTGCAAGAGGCCAGCGCTGGCAAAGACCAGGATTGGCTTTGACGTAAGAGAAGATGGAAACAGTTTCAGAGGTCTTCTGTTCATCACAAGGCAAGTGTGAATGATGCTTGGGTCAAGACACAGATCGAAAAGCTTTCTGTCGTGGGAGCCTTGCGATGCCGTTGGTTGTTCCAAGATGTCAGCGGAGACTCATCTTCAGATTTCAGCACAGCAGCTGCTAAGGAACATCAAAGGCATAGGGATGGCAGAAGCGTTTCTCAAAGAAGGAATTGTGCACACACTCGTACCCAGGCACATAGAAGCACCCATCTGCAGGATGCCGAAAGGCAAGCGATGGTACAAACAGTCGTTCTTCATCTGGCTCCTTGGCGTCTTGCCAACATGGCAGCCAGAGACCGTGGAGACCATGGTGACCTCAGCGTCCCCTCTTCGAGTGTCTGCCGGGGGGAGTCAGCAGGGCTCGCTTTCAGCGCTGCCAATTCGTGTCGGGCCTTCGGTGCTGGCAGGAGATCTTTCAAAGCTGGCATTTGAGACCCGTCGGGTGATCCGGGCAGGCGCAGATTACATTCATCTGGACATGTTTGACGGAAACTGGGTTCAGGGGGCCTTCACTTTTGGCCCCATGGTTGTGAAGGCTCTTCGGGATCACGAGCCGAGGGCGTATTTCGACGTTCACTTGTGCGTGATGCGTCCGGAAGAGTACTTAGAAGAAATGAAGCACATTGGGGTCAGTCGAGTGACTTTGCATTTCGAAGCCACCCGGGACCCCGGAGCAGCTGCCAATCGTGCACACGGCCTCGGCCTAGAAATAGGCTTAGCCTTAGCTCCCGAGACTCAAGTCGATGAGAAGCTCCTTTCCATTGCGGAGCTCTTTGATGTGGTTCTGGTAATGACGGTTCCACCCGGCTTCGGTGGCCAATCCTTCATGCCGGAGATGCTGCCGAAGCTGCGGCAACTGCGCGAAGTTTTCCCGACCAAGGCCTTGGAGGTGGACGGAGGCGTGACGCCGACAACGGCCGCGCTGGCCGCGGCTGCGGGCGCCAATGAGGCGGTGGCGGGGTCTTCAGTGTTCCACTCGAGGAACCTGCGCCGAGCAATTAGGCCCGTCGAAGAAACGTCGTAAGTCTGGAATCTGGGTCGGGTTTGAGTTGAGCACTTGCCTGATTCTCTGTTCCCTGGAGGGAGCTTCGGCATGGCTTGGAGCAAGGGCAGCAAACTTGGCAACAGAGCTGACTGGCGCTGAAAAGATGCAAGTCCTCGCTTGGACCAAGGGCCACGAAAGCTGACATGGCTGGAACGTTTTGCTGTTCCTGCTGCCATTTTGTGCTTGTTAGACAAACCAGCTTTGTACATGCGAAGCTGAAGACTTAGTTGGCCTCTATTTTGCCCTGACCAAAACTGCTGTCAGGTTGACAAACTGACAAACGGAAGCTCTACAGTAGATTCGGGCTTCCTGTTTCGTAGAACTCGCTCGTCTCAGGCAAGACCGCGAATTGCGAATGTGGTTATGGGAGTAGGATGTGCAGAAGACTCCTAGCTGCTATGTGATCGCATGGAGCAGGCGGAGGCTGGTGTGCCCATTTCTCCACAGCTTGTTGTTTTGCTTGCAGCAGCGGTTGAGCTGCTAGATTCTTTCGACCAATCCATGTCCGATAAGGGCGAGCAACTCATGATGTGATGAGAAGGTCTGCGCATATCATGAAAAGTTGGGGCCTGCTGCTGCCGCCACTGGCCCGGACCCTTTTTGTGCTTCGCGACATTGCAAGATACATGCAGCCATACACCAGGCTCTTGCCTGCAGGTGGACGGAAATCTGATAGGCCGTCGTCCGTCGTCAGATAATCATCAGCTGACTTGAGGTCCAAGCGGCCTACTTTCCAGTTGCGTCGGGAGCTCCTGACTGCACGCCAGTCAGAAAGATGGGCTGTTCAGAGAGTATTTCTCAGGTACAATGCAGAAGAGACATGGCAGCGGCCCCTGATGCAGCCCGGGACCCTGTGAAGGTATCCAGTCATTTCGAGGATAAGCCGTGAGGCTTGCGTTTCCAACATGAAGCTTTCCAATGCTGTTGGATGACTGTTCCGTACCCGTGGAGATCGGCAGGAGTCTTGTAACAATTTCAGTCCTGTGTTCTTTGATCTACCACAATCGCAGCCCGGAGCGAGCTTCTCTTTCCAAGGCCATGGGACCCTCTTCGAGCACTGAGGCAGCGAGGGTTTTCAAGCGTGATAACCTTCTGGCCATACGGACTTCTGCTTTTTCAGGGGGAGCATCATGGTGACCTGGACACCTGGTGCCAGCCTCCCAGCTCTCTGCCGAAACATCTGCATCGTTCTTCCCAGCCTGTGTGCCAGTGGAACCCCTGGTGCTCCGTCGACCGCTACGAGCTGCAGGCTGCCCCCCCGTTGCCTCTCCTTGCAGAAGCCGCTCAGAAGCAGCTGCAGGCTCGTCGGCCGAGGGGGCCCCCAATGCGCTTTGCAGATCTGGAGTCTCTGAGGCTCGGGGGTCGGGAGTGGCAGTGCAGCTGGGGCTTCGGAGCTTTGGGAGCGCAGGTACAGGGAAGCGGACATCGATGCCCAGGAGGCAAATCAACGCACTTTGTGTGTTTCGACAGTGGATGGAGCCATTCCCCAACAAATTCAGAAGAGCAAGCAGTTGGTATGAGCGGATCAGACTCAGGAGGAGACTTGGCCTGGTGATGGTGAGTGGGACTCCTGGGAGACGAAATACGTGGGAGTGGGCCGCCTTGGCGTGTCTTTGCACTGCTGTGCTGGCCAAAAGTAGACTCCTCCCTGTCTTGACTTCATCGCCAGGTCGTGCATACACTCTCCAAGTTGAGGCTGAAACAGCGCATGCCGCGCGGGACTTGCAAAGGCAATAGGTCACAGCATCGGGCAGTTGAGTCCGTCATCGTCATGTTTGGCTTCCTGACAATTCCTACTACAGCAAGGCTCAGTTCCGAGTTCGAGCCTGTGGCAGACCGGAGAGCCTCCGCCCTATTTTGTGTTTCAGCCCTGCGGCAGGCGTCATGCTCGTGACTGATCAGAATCAAATCACTCCTGTGAAGCCTCCGTACTGCAGAGTCCTGTTTGAGGCTTGGCTGGTCCTGGGCCAGTCAGTGTCGGATGCAGTTCCTGGAGCCCTATCCAGACAGCGTGCCTCCTCCGTCCCATTTTAGCATCCTGCATGTGATGCATGTGTCTGCTATGCCCATGCTCTAGCTTTGGACCAACTGGCAGCCAAACCGGACGGTCGTGTCAGGTACACCCTCGTCAGCGCTGCACAGGATAAAGTGAACCTAATGGTGAGGGGCATGGGGATGCCCCGCACTCAGATTGACGACGCAACCGCACTGCCGCGTGCAGTCCACGTGGGCTCTGACTCCAAGGAATGCGCCAGACTATGCGCATATAGAGGCCTGGTAACAGAGTTTACAACGTCCTCCACGCGCTTTGGCACACATAGTCTGGAAAAAGGTCAACCGCCGGATAATCTATCGGCCACTGCCTCGGCAATAGCATCGTGTGAAGATTGCATCCTGCAAGTCTCATGTCCTACTCGTCGAGGCGGCGTGATGAGACAGGGCTCGTTCTTGCCGTTTTCCAGCGGTTGGACTTCTCATTGCAGTGGCTCAGGAGCAGTGTGGAGCTGTGGTTTGCCAGTAGCAGTAGCAACTGTGAGCCCACCTGACTCCATCGCCCGCAGCGGAGGACTTATGACACACACCGGAATCGGACAGAGGCCCCGTAAGTGTCAAGTGCCGCTGAGACTGCAACGCGATTGCTTAGTTGCACTTCCGATTCGCCCGTACTTTACTTTGTGGCAGCTTTTGCCTGAGAGGCATTGCTGATGGCAGAGAAGATCCGGCAGTACAATGCCAGCTTTTTCGTGTGCGTCCGAGTGGAAGTCAGAGTCTGGTGCAGCCTCGGTGAGACAGCATCGTGTTAAGTATTTGGGATGTCGATATTGCGGTCACAGGGACTTGAGTGTGCACCCAGAACACAAGCTGTAGGCATCCATGCGGGGGGTCCAGGGACTTGGAAAAGACCCTGCCAGTGCAGAGTGTCATTTGCCACTCTCCGGAGTCAGCAAAGCGAGACAGTAGAAAGGCAGGAGCACTTTTTTGCGTGTAAGGTGGTCGTGGCATCCAGCATCGCCTGGGAATGGCAAGCACCGCGAACGCTCGCTTCAGAGAGTCTGCCGCTGCTGTGTTGGGCAATGCGATGCTGCGAGGTTGGTTCAGACGATGGAGTTCTGTGGAGCTTACCACTTCGGGCTTAGCGCTCAGCAAGAACAGAGGTCGAGTTGTTTGGGACATGGTTCTGCATGAATAAAACCAAGGCAGTGGGCGAACACATTTGCAGAGCAGGCTTGTGGATGCTCCCTGCGACTGCACTTCAAGATTACCTGGTCAAATCTTGACTTGAGCTGAAATAATCCTGGCCGACTGCATCGCAGATCCGCTACCGCTCAAACACCTCAGACCTGCAGCAGACAGCGTTCCTCGGACTCCGTGAGACTGAGACAGCGCTTCGTTGTATCTGTGAATAATTTGCAAACGAAGCGAGGTCTCAGGAGCAGTTTGGACATCCATATGCCTTTGTTCGTGTCTCAGACTTTTGACTTTGGTCACTTTCGAAGTGCCAACCCATAAGATGGCTGAGATTGGAATCCCGGGCATTGGCACTGCCATGGGCTGGGAGCCATCAGCTCAGATATGCCCGAGATGCCACCAGAATGGCTGGGCCCCAGCATCGCTGCCAAAGCACTGACAGTCGCTGGAGGTCCTTAATGTACAACACGGGGCACTACATGGCGAGGTCTGTGAAGCCTCAGCAGGATCGGACCGGTTGTCGGTCAAGCAGCGTAGTTCTTCTCAAGCGAATGCGAGAATGAGTGGGAAGGCGATAATCAGAGGCGTCGCGTACTACGACTACGTGGTCACGCGCTCAGCCTGGAAAGCTGTCGGTGAGTACAAGCTCTTTACCATCCAGGCACGCCTTTATCGCCTACAGGACATCTCTGCAACGAAGGTGCTTTGAGCGTTTCAAGCCGTGGCCGGTGTTCAGGGTCACGGCAGGGCTTCGATCTGCCGAGGCGCTCTTCTTTCTGAAGGGCCAGCCACCACTCCCTGAAACTTTTCACAATCCGGAGCCGGGCTTGGCTGACGCATGCAACGCACGCAATGCATGATCATGTTCTGTTACCCGGCTGCAATGCAACAACAGCCCATGAAGAGGTTCCCCAGCGGAAGATCCCTGCGTTGGAAGCTCAAGACTGGGAGAGGAGCTGCGACTTCTGCCAAATGCCTACGGTAGCATCCTCTCATGAGGCTCGACTTGTTTGCACTGGTGTCAATAACCCCTGCCTACACGCCGTATGCCATAGCCCGAGACAGATTTCAGACCGAGTATTTTTCCGTCCACACCAACTGCAGATTGGAACCCTCCGGGAGCACATCACGAAAGTCCTGGAGGACACGCTGTGCGAGTGTATGTGTAGATGTGTATACACATGCTCACGCCGCGAAACATCGAACCTCGCACATACTGGCAGAAGTCCTGCAGGCAAATGGTACCGTGATTCCCTACAACTTCGCATTCTACCTGAAAACGGATGCGCACGTTTTCAAGGCAAGGGCGGATTGTTCTGAAGTCGGTAGCGGGTGAGATTCTCGTGGCTAAGGTGGACCCGAGACCGCGGAGTTGGTGGCTCACAGAACTCGAGAGAGTGTGGGGTGGGTGCGATGCTCATGCCCGAGACAACCTTGTCGGTTCTGGGCGAACACTGCCCTTTCGAGGGCAAGCATGCGGCACTTCCAGCACAATACCACGATCCTCCACCAGGGTCTGAACTTCGATGAGAGGTGTAGAGCTGAGGCTTCAACATGTGTTCGTCACGCGCGAAGCTAGTTCAGTCGATTCCTGGTCGCAAGCTGCACACCGGTTATAAATCTGAGGAGCTGCCCAAGCTTCGTCAAGCACACACACTTGTTCGCCGATCCGCTGTCATGTGGAACAGACTATCAGGACCGGTGAGCACAGCGCATGTCATGTTCCGTCTCAGAGAGGTGCCCACAGAACGCCCCAATCTGAGATTTACGGAAGGATTGCTGCGATCGAGTCGATGTCCCAGATTTCCCTGTGACTGAGCCCGGAGCTCGGAACATGCGCCGAAGACTCCAGCCAGTCACAGACAGTAGGATCTCTTTTTGTCATTGTTAGGTGTGGTATTGGAGTCTCGCCCACGCTCTGCCAAAATGCAGACAAGATTGAGGCCTGCGCCCAAGTGTCAGAAAGACGAAGAAGCACGCTGCTTGTAGTTGTGAGTAGTCATCTGGATCCTTGCAGGTCTTCTGCCTGGAGATCAACAGGCACGAGCAGAACTTGTTTTTGGGGTGGACACAAAGTCTTGGGTGTAGGAGCACCGAGATATTATTGCTGTGCCTATCCAGGACCACCTCGTACAAGTGGCCTTGCGATTTCCGCATCATGAACTGGACGGCATGAGTTCGCGAGGTTCGAAGGTATTACGTGTGTCTTGAAGAGCTGTTGTGCTATCCCGTCCCTCAGTCCTGAAGGGATCAACAAGGTCGGGTCTCAGCAGCTTGCAAGTTGTCGGATGGTGTCGTAGCAGAAGCGAACGACCTCCCATCAATGTACATAAACTCGCTCACAGATGCCTCCAACAAGCAAGCAGCCTGCCAGAATAGCAATGCTGAGTCACAGTTTGGTTGTGTTTCGTATACATCAGCGTCCCCGAAGTTTGCGGCTGCAAGTGTGAGAAGCCAGAACTGACAAGTCCAACCTGTACGATTGGTACGCATGGTATGCATCAGTTGCTCTTCACAATTGTCGAACCTTACGTCCCGGCCTGTGCATAGCATCAAGTTGCGTGTTGACTTGCTTCAGCCATGGCCGGCGATACTGCGGCAGACAGCGGCTCGCTGTTTTATCGAGTGATCGAGTCATGGCCGAAGCGTTCGTGTCACACGGGTTGTACTTTGAGGCGAGAGGCTACCGGAAATCACGGACCAGGCGCGCACCAGAGCCAGCTGTTTGAGGACCGATAAAGTCCGATAAAGGTCTCAGTGTACAGTTAAGCAAGCCTTCCGACTGCACGGTCCTGCCCCGTGATGTAACTAAAATTTACCTGCCGTGGATCCAGAAGCCGCTCTTCAATTTCTGCTAGCTTGCGGAAGTGGTACATACAATGCATCCTGTATTTTGATGCGGTCATAGGCTTCATTCCAGCAATTCATGCTCGGAAGTGTTGTAGTGATTGTAATGTGATTTACAAAGCTGCCATTGCGGAGACTCCTCCGAAAAATGAAGGATCTTGACAGTAACAGTCCCGAAGAGGTGGCAGAGCGTCTCTTCCGCAGCCTCGAGCTTATGGAGGCGATGACAACATCGAGTCGTTTGTAGCAAGTCCAGTCTTTGCGCCATGGCACAGAATTCTGTTCCGAAGGCAGACTATCAGCGGACACTGGCTGCAGAGCCGACAGCACCACAGTCGCTGCTGTCCCAGCAACGGGATGCAGTACATCCAGATCTGCTTAGCCAATTTCTGTGTTGAGTCCGAAAACCCATATTCTACCGTGTCTCCTATTTCCAACTTCAGGCTTCATCCATCGGGCATCCTTCGTGAGCAGTCTGACTCGGACCGGGACGGGATCAGCGGCCTTTGATTGAACTGATCTCCGTGATGGGATTGCAGCCCGAATCGAGCACGAACGCCTTTGACTCCGCAGCAAGGCCCCAGAACAGCGCACCAAAACGACCCCACCTGAAACCAACAACTTCGCGCAGTCACCAAGATGCTTTGTTTCTCGATATAGCGTAGGAACGCATTCTGCGTTGCAGCTGGCTGCTGCTGCTATGGCACGGTAGCACGCACGCACAGAAGCACGTGGCTTTCATTGACCGGAAATCAGGGGGACCACCTGAAGCTGAGATGGGGACAACCAGCAACTTTTAGCATGGTACAGCAGCATAAACACACAGTCCTCGCCGATGTCCAGCCATGCCTCCTCACCTGCAACCGAGCCGTCGGCCAAGGAGACGCAGACGGTACCGCTTACCCATGCTTCACATTGTTTGAAATATTTTGAAGCTACTACTTGCTTTGCATGGTCCTGACCGGAGGTTCGAGTATGGCGGCGACGTAATGCGCTCCTGCATCCTGGGGCGTGGCTTCCAGGGTTGTTTTTTCCCCAAACCTGCCGTGCTGACATGTTCTTGCATACTCCAGCGATCCTGATCTTGACACTTGTGCTTGACATGTTGAGCTCGGTCACGGAGAAGATGCCACTCTGAAGCTGTTGCGGCAGCAACGCGCTGGAGTGCCCTGGCCAGGACTCCGAGTAGGGTCAGCTTAGTCTCGGCTTTTACGGTTTAAGGCTTGCTTCGGGCTTGCTTAGGGCTTTAGGGTTTGCCACCCGTTACCGCCTTTTAGCGTGGAGGGCTTGTCACCAACAGGCTTGTCCGTTCGTTTTCCTTTTTTTACCACATTTTTCCAAACATGCTATTGCTGCTATTGTGCTTCTTTCTCTACACAGGGCTTGCCACCAACAGGCTTCCGCGTTCACTTTTCTTCTATTTGAGCACATGTTTTCCAAGTGTGCTTCTCTACACACGGTTCACCACCCCAAGTCGAGTTTTAGGATTGAGGGCTTGCCACCAATACTAGGCTTCCTTCTTTTAGGGTTTAAGCTCCTGAGCATGTCCTTTCAGGGCTTAGCTTAATGTTAACATCGGCTTTTAGGCTCTAGGGCTTGCCACCCAATTTATCGCGTTTTTCGAGTTGAGAGCTTGCCACCAACACGCATCCTCTTTTTCCGCCCCAGAGTCTGATTACGAGTCGCTGGTCTGGTATCAGACTTGCTTTTGGGTTTGCCACCCAACATCGCTTTTTAGGGTTCTGGGCTTGCCACGAAACATGTCCTGTCCGGGCCTGGGGGGCTTGTCTCAACGTCGCCGTTTAAGGTTTAAGGTTTGGGCTTGCCGCCCAACATCGCCTTTGAGGGTGTTGGGCTTGCCACCAAACATGTCCTGTCAGGTCTGCGGGTTTGTCTCAACATCGCCTCTTAGGGTTTAGGGTTTGGGTTTGCCGCCCAGCATGGCCTTTCAGGGTTCGGGGCTTGCAACGAAACATGTCCTGTCAGGCCTGGGGGTTTGTGCCAAACTTTTTAGGGTTTAGGGTTTAGGTTTTGGGTTTGCCATTCAACATCGCCTTTTAGGGTTCTGTCCTGTCAGGCCTGGGGTTTTGTCTCAACCTCGCAGGGTTCGGGTTTGCCACCCAACATCGCCTTTTAGGGCTCTGGGCTTGGCACGAAACATGTCTTGTCAGGGCTTGTCGCAACCTCACTTTTTAGGGTTTAGGGTTTGGGTTTGCCACCCAACATCGCCTTTTGGGGTTCTGGGCTTGCCACCAAACATGTCATGTCAGGGCTGCGGGTTTGTCTCAACATCGCCTCTTAGGGTTTAGGGTTTGGGTTTGCCGCCCAACATCGCCTTTTAGGGTTCGGGGCTTGCCACGAAACATGTCGTGTCAGGGCTCAAAGTTTGTCTTATTTTTTTTGCTATGGTTTAGGGCTTGGGTTTGCAACCCAACTTCGACTCTTACGGTTCAGGGCTTGCTACGCTACAACAGGCTTCACCTCTTTCGGGTTCAGGCTATGCCAGATCAGATCAGGACCGATCAGATCAGATTAGATGGGTTCCCGCCGGTGGCTTGACCACACCAGGGCACCGATTAAAGCCTAACAACAATCACTGTGAACCGAACTGGCATCACAAGATCACACCTGACTCGCAGTAAGATCTAAGCATGTTGTTGCTTGCGCAACTAGCCCCCGGCCTGCAGGCTGCGCCCGACGACGGCGTTTTTCCTTTCCCTCCAGGCAGTCATACTTGCGGATCAAATCAAACCAGATCATTTTGCGTCCTGAGGGGTCATGTGCGCAGTGTTTGTTGAGATTCCCTGCGCACTGCAGCGATCGTTGCAAACTGTTGTTTGTTTGATCAGTTGCTTGAACTATTGCTTACCTGTGGCGTTTCAATTCTTCTCCAGTGCAGGGAGCTGGCATTCCGGGGTTATAGAAGACGCGCAGGTTGGGCGGACACGACATCAGGTCAGATCAGATCTAAGCCGTGAACCCTAAACCTTATTCTGTTTTTGCATATGGCCATATGAGTGCAGAATTTTCAGATCTGTGGTACGGACGCTGAAAGTGTGGAGACTGCCCAGCAAAGCTGCTCCCCTAAACCCTAGACGCCCAGGCTTTCAGCCTCCGACCCCAGACACTTCACGCAAGCTTGCCGCCCGGACCACCCTGCGATTGCTCCTGCGTCGAGTCGGCGGCCGAGGCTCCTGACGATATCAGCAAGCGCTCATGTGCGGAGACGTGTCAAGCCGGTGATTGCCCTTTTCCACGGTCCAACCCCCATCGGTTCGCTCACAAATCCTTTCACGTCCGAAATTCATGTCCGTGCAGAGTTAGCACGGGGCCTACCTCGAAATCCTTGAAGGGGGCGCCATCTCAGAAGGATGTGAGAAAAGCTCGCCGCGACCTTCTGGACCAGCAGCGCCCGTCCAAGCAGTAGCGCCAGGATGATGGCGGCGAGGCATGAGTAGCCTACCTCCAGCAGCAAGCAGGTCTGCAGAAGGTGCTGCACCAATTGGTTTACACGCCGGTGCGCATGATCTCTGACGAGACTGTTCTCCAAGCCGTCACCATTGGAAAGGACGTGGTTGCTCCCGAAGGAGCGTGCTTGTGGCTGGCGGAACACATGCTTCAGGTGGTGTCCAAGGTCGGGAAATATGCCGCCCAAGGATCCGGTTTGACTTTGGTGTCCGATTGGACGTTATAAGCTGGATACCGCTGGATGGCTCAGCCAGAAACACAATGCGAGAGGCGATCTTCCTGCTACGGAGATGAATCCTGCGGCGTTTGCTGTCGGCCCAAAGGAGGATCTGGCTACCATCACTTCTTCTTTCTCAACGTTTATTGAGTTCTACGAGAAGCGAGATGTTGGCCTGATGTCCGTGGTGCTGCGCTATATCCTCATGGATGGCTGTGCAGCCGGGCGCTTGGCGGCAGAGAAGGCTCGTTGGGGCCAAGGCAAATAACAACAGCACTCCTGCGTGACGTAGGCTCGCGTCAGCTCATCTGAGCTTACCTGATTTAATCTATTCCGATGTCTAGCAGTTGAGGAGTCTGAAGTCGCTTCTAACTGATCCATCATGTAGGCAAAAGTGGCGTCGTCTGAGCTTACCTGGTCTAATCTGTAATCTGAGCTGAGAAAACCTTGTGAAATCGTCCCTAAACTGATGGCCAGGACAACGGTTTGTACGTCAAGTCCATGATTGACTTCTCGGAGTCTTTGTCAACTCTTCTTCACGCCGAATGACCCTAGAGTGCCACACCGTGGGCTCGTCTCGGCGGACTAGGCGCGGCCTGGTCGTGATGAGCAGGATGTCCAGCTGGTGCTGCCGCCTGTGTGGCGTGCCTGGGAGCATGTGCCGAGCAACTTCCATGGAAGCACGCTTGCCGGAGCTGTCCAGATATGGGATGTGCTACGGGTGTACACGTTTCCAGCAAGACAGGCCGGCATTTTCGTAGACCACGAGATGCTCCCGCTCTTCCCGGCATCCACGCGGCAGGTGTTTGCAGAGGCGGGGAAAACGCTGAACATCTTCGAGGAAGAGAACGGGCTGGGCCTGCTCTCGAATTGCGAACCCTGCTGTCGGAGATGGTCTTGTGCTCCAAGTTGCGGCGACCGTACTGCGGCTACAGCATCCTGTGCAGCTGTCCGTACTTCTGCACACGCGGGTCCTGCGCCCACCACTTTCTCCGCATTTCCGAATACGTGGCCAAAGGTGTCAGCCCTACACGTGCTGGAGCGGAAGAGGCACTCCGCCAGCTTCCCAGAAGCCCCTTGCCTGATCCAAGCTGACCTTGACCTGACCTCACCTGACCTGACCGAGTACTACGCTGAGATCGCTTGAGGATGGAGTTTAGTATAAGCCCTTAGCACGAGGACCACTTTTGCGAGAGTTGCCCGCGAAGTAAGCGTGGTCTAGGAATGTTCTGCCGGTGAATCAGGCCAAGGACAGGGCTTTGGGGCGGCAACAGCTAGCTGACAAGAGGAAGCAGGAACTAGCTGCCATGGGCTCGAGACGTGTTGGTGGCAGCGCACGTTGGCCAGAAGGACATGCGTGAAGACAAGCCGAAGCGTGCCGGGCGCAAAGCGGAGGGAGAACCTGTTACTCAGATGCTGAACTTGCTTATGTCTTTCCAGGAAGCTAAAGACCTCAATGTGTCAGGCTCAGGTGTCCTGCAGAACATATTCGACAATCCTCTCACACAGCTGCCAGAACGAGTCATGGCCAAACAGCTGGTGAATGCTTGGTCAGCACAAACAAGAGACGCAGCAGAGGTCTCCAAGTACTCCTCGCGGAGCTGGCCGCCCAGAAGGAGCTTCGCCTTTAGCCAAAGTAGCAGGATCGATCCAGTGGGCCAGCGCAGGCCAGCAATGGAAACCAAAACTAAGAAATCTTTGACATGCTGCTTTCGTTGCCAAGTGTGATTATGTTTCACATTTCAGGAATGCTTGTCATGTTCTCGACAGAGTCTGTTACATCTGTCGAACTCATGCTGGCATTATTGTGGATTAGCCGTGCCCAAAAGGCGGGCGCCGCGTGATGTCGGATCAGATCAGACCAGCTCGGCTTGGACTATCCGGACCTCATTTTACAAATGATCTTGTCGTATCCTTATGAGCTCTCTGCATCACTAGTGGCAATTACTAAGTTGAACCCTGGCCGAGCTGTGGCCTTCTGGTGTCAGATCAGATTGGATCAGCTCGGGCAGCGCAGAAAAAAACACGATCACACCTTGCGGGCTGGCCCCCTTGAAAGAGTTTGGGTTAAAATCCCGGCTTTCGTTGTTAACGGATGCCTGAGTTCGGTTGGTGCATCGGGTCGGGTCTTGTGCTGCTGAATACGGGCTTGGTAAAGCTGGGTGTTGTTGATCGGTTCATATCAGATCACATCTGATCAGGTCGTGCTCAAACAGTCTAGGTCGTTTGCTGCCCGCGGCCCGTGCTTGCTTCAGGTGCCCGTCTGTGCCTTTTGCGGCGGAGGCCCGCATCATGCTGTCCCCTTGCGTTCGGAACCTGCCTAGAGCATGTGGTTGGCAAGCGAACTAAATTAGACTTTATCTGTCGCTGGTCAAAATAACAGCTGCGCTTGCAGGCTGAGTTCGACGACTTATGGGCTGATTCTTGCATGCGTATTTTGTTCTGTGGCTTTGGAGATAGGAGACTACCAATCGATCGGCGCAGGCAAGCGAAGCCTCCGACCAAAAGACTGAACAGGAGCACGCAGGCATTTGCAAGCGTTTGAAGTGGGCATCTTGGCAGCCCGGCAGCCCAATGAGACTCGGCACGTTTGCACGTGTATAGCCGCATGCACATCAACGTGGATGTGTGTGTTCAAATGCTGTCGCAGGGTTTTGATGAACGGGGCGGTACGTTGTCAAGCTGAAGTGTCTTGGATCTGGCTGGCCTCATGAGATGCGAGTGGGGTGGGATTAGGACTGTCGAGTTGCCCGCTGCCCCAAACCAAGCAATCCTGACACTGTGCGGCAAGCATGCAAGTGCGTGCAAGTGGGCATGCGCTTGTTGAAAGTCGGAGATGTGGATGTGACAGGAACCTGGGTAATCATCATTTTCTTGCAAGCCTCAATGCAAGCAGCCACGCATACATTCATGGGGTGGGCGTTGCGCTTCAGGCATCCCCAAGCAAGCAAGACATCGTCGAGAAATGGGAGCGGTCATGGGCTGATGCTTGCCTGCGTTGCGCGAGCACGCCCATGCCAAACATGTGTTAGTCATTTCGCATGATGATGTCGTCTGAGGTTAACACTGGATGATCCGCTCCGCGACGTTAAAACAAGAAAAGACAAGGGAGAGAAGAAGGCGCTCTGTCGTGGGGATGAAATCAGATAAGATTGGGTTGTTCTGCTTTGGGCATCAAAGCTCAGGGGTTTCTTGGGGGCACTTGCGAACATCAGGGTTTAGGTTTCAGGGCTCGGGGTTTAGGATTGGGGGTTCAGGTTTTATAGAGTTTATTCATGCCAGGGCCAGATAGAGAAAGACAAATAGAACGACAAAGTGACAAAGACGAACAATAAAGGTGCCTCGGGACTGGATTCTAGAGGTTCGTTCTTGACACAGCCTGCAATTCGCAAGCAGGTTACGGGTTTAGCAACCAGTCTCTCGTTTGAGGGCTCAAGGCATACCAGGTCCTGGATTGAGCAAAGGCGCTACAACCGCATGTGCAAGTGACACCGCACGAAGCTGGCTGGACATGCTCGCGCTGCAACTGGACCGGATCGAAGCGCCAGAGTCTCTGCGCCACCTGGCTTTCCGATCCACGACCAAGTGCAAGTTTGGCATTTGCCATCTGCAAGACGGCAAGACGCAAATCCAAGTACCTAGACGCAAATCCAAGTACCTGGCGCCACCAAGCAGCACCGTTTCTCCATAGGCGACGTGTTGAAACACGGCTTGAAGGCTCGCGCTTGCGCTTTTGATATGGTCTGGAGGTTGATGAATCCGTGACTAGGTCACTGGACTGGGTGACTGGACTGCAGCCCATCTCTTTTGTCACGGTCACTGTGTTTACTCAGGAGGGTTTTGGTAAAGTCCTGTCCCGTCGTCGCCAACAGCTGCTCGAGCGGGACACCACAGCAACAACACAGCCTGCTAAGCTTACTTTTCTTTTAGCTTTTGCTTTGCATAGCCCTTTGAGCTGTCAGGACTACTTTTCAGCAGCTTTAGGCTAAACTTTGCGTCCAGCTGCTTGAATGGAACGCGAGCCTCAGCCTTCTGCGCGCCTCCTGCTTTCAGCGGACTTCAGGGCATCCTTTGAGCGGGCCTTCGACTTGGA